AATAAATTCGTAGTTACCTATATAGCTAGGCTAGCTATCTAGATAGGAATAGAATGGTGATACTGTTTTCGAATCATTTATTTATCTAAAGAAAACAAAAATATGTGGAACAAAATAAAAAAAAAATGTGGAAAAAAGTAAAACAGCCGGATTCTGAAAATTCGTTTTTTTTCGAAAAACGAATTTTCAGAATCCGTTTTCAGTTAATCCCGAACGAAAAACGGATTTTGATAATCCGTTTTTTTTTAATTAAGTGAGTTTGACTTTAATTAAGTGATTAACCTTAATTAAATCCGTGTTCGTAGTGAAAACGGATTTTCATAATCCGTTTTTATTATTTGATTTTTTTATTTTTTTTTTAATAAAAACGGATTCTTAGAATCCGTTTTTATGTATTTATTTATTTATTTTTTTAATTTTTTAAGGCTCGATTATGTTCACGAACTCGTTTATCAGCGATCGCGTTGCGTTTATTTTAACTGAATTTTTTATTCTTATCCTTCAATATTAAGATTTTTTATAAATTTCAATTTAACATTTTGAACAAGAAATAATATCATTTTAATATCAATTCATTCGTCAAATGATAAAATAAAATAAAAGAAAAAAAAAAAAAAATGTCCACAAAATCAAAGAATACAAAAACAAACTAACTAGGAGTAAATGGTTTCCTAGACACGCGTCTTCGGGACCCTCTCCGAGGCCCCGGTTGCAAAGAAGACGATCATGCGGTCGGTCCAGGCGTGGTTGGTTCTTCTTTTTCTTGTCCACCTAATTAATTAATTTTTGTAAAAAATCAATAATTCAACCGGACAAATAAATAAAAAGAAACAAAAAAAATATATATTTGTAGTTAAATAAAAAAATCTCACCTTCTTCGTTTTCTTCATTGCCGGCGGGTTCGCGGTCACGGCGTCTTCTCCCTCCACCAATGTGGGGCGCCGGTCTATGCCTCGCCCGCTGAGAATGTGTATGCTGGGGTGGGACGTACTCATCTTGAGATAGAATTTGCTCCGACGACGCCCCTTGTGTGACCGACTGACCCCGAACAGTCAGAGAAGCGTACAGAAGTTCCTGGGCTTGCTGGAACTGTGACTGCGCTCGGGGAGGTAGCGTATCAATGTCTTCAATGTTCGTTAGCATGTTATACGCCACCTCCGTACCCGAAAACTGCAAAATTAAATTCAAATAACTATCAAATATTAAAAATAATAATAATAATAATAATAATTACTTCAATAATTTTAATAATAATAATAAAAAAAAATCACAAAATAGCAGACAGTTACCTGACACTTCTCCCGGTCGGCATATGGCTGAAACCCGCCGTCCTGTGAGATCGCCGCGTAGTTGTTGGGGTCATTGAATAGTCTCACAGTCCTACTGTGAAACCAATCAATGTACCCATCTGCCGGCTGCAGGAAGGGATCCACCGGGACATCTTGGAGGACGTTCTGATCTCTCTCTTCGGTCCAGATCCTCCCAAGATCAGCATGGAAGGCCTGCCAATCGGTGTATGCCCTCCCAGTCATGCCCTGGCCCTTGTGGCGGGTGTCCCAGTCGGCCAGACTAGTAATGAGCGGCTGTTGGGGGATGGGCTGGTGGCACCGAAACTGGCAGAGCACCCTATCAGGCTCGTGGGGTTCTGCGATGTTCCAGCAGAAGATCCACCCCTTGTACATCCAGAGATGTCGGTCTCGTGTGCACACTTCCGGGAGCTGACCCTCGTCTATGTACGTCTGATAGGGTACCCAATCAAACTGTGAAAAAAAACATTTATAGAATTATTAATAAATTTAATAAAAAGTAGAATTAAAAAAATAATAATTATTTATTTATGACCTAAGAAACTTACATCAGTCTCTCTCAGGCCACTCAGCTGATCTCGGATGGCAGCCGTGCCCGTCACCAGGTGTCTCATGTCCCTCGATCCCACCCACCTTAAAAATCACAGAAAAAGTTTTATTTGTAATTACAAATTTTGATAATTGAAATAACTTAAGTGTTGAATATAAATAAATGTTATTATTACCTTGCACCCAAGGGACAACCCGCCTGAGAGCCGAAATGTGTTCTTGTCATTAATGGGCGAACACGAGGGATGCGTTCCCATGCCCAAACCTGCACATATGGACATATACATTTTTTAGCACATATTATTGTAATTTACAATAAATAAAATTAATTTTCAATTAACAAGTAAATAAATTTACCTGAATCAACTGCACGCAGCTCTTGATATATTTTTCCCGCGTCTCGTAGGCGTCGCAGAGCGCTCTATATACCCCGGCCAGAAGCGCTCCACCTCAGCTGTACCCCGGAATGACATCGATGTCATTCAACAGGGACAACCAGTAGAGGTTGACTCCGTTGGCCCGATGGTCGGGGAAGAAGAAGGACCCATTACACCAGAGTATCAGAGCTCGCGCCCTCTTCTCGTACTCTGATGTAGGGAGTCCATCCTCCAGAGGGCGCTTGCACTCCTCTTCCAGACTACTGAAATACAGGCACTGGCCATTTATGTCCCAAGTCTTGGAGTCGTAGCCCTGGACCCCGTCATCCTTGAAATACGTTTATATATATATTAAAAGCGACCCATGACTTCAGTATATAAACATAATAATAATAAAAAAATTAAAATAAACAAATAAAAGTTTTAGGTAAAAATATACCTGTACGTATGGGAGGTACCCTAGAGCGTCCAGGCAATGACCTCTCCACTCTTGGGGAGTCCGATGTACGGTCTGTCCCCAGCACGCCTCCCCGCTGACGGGGAGGCCAAAGAGTATCTGAACGTCCTGGAGAGTGATCGTGGCCTCCCCGAAGTCGAAGTGGAAGGTGTGCGTCTCCGGACGCCACCTCTCCAGCAGGCATGTAATGAGGGGATTGTTTGTCGGGACCTGCCCCATCCGAAATAAAGGCCCGAATCCGGCCTTGTCGATTGCCTCCCATGTCCGGGCATGCTGCCTGTTGTCCTCCAAGGCAGCCCAGAACTGGGTGTCCGAACGGCGTGGCTTAACCACTCCGTGGCGAAACCCCGGTGCGTCCTCATATACCGCCTTGGATCGGTGGCGGTTTTGAAGATATAGAAGTGACGGATCACTGGGGCCGGGGTGTGGGGTGTAGTGTTGAGGGTTCGAGGATGACGAAGCCATTTTCTGAAAAAATGACCGAGATTGTACCAATTGTTAATTTTGAACTGACCGAGATTTATATATTATTTAATAAATATTATTCTGTATCTAATTACACAAATCGTGTAATTTCGATTGATTTATTCAATTATAATTTCTTATCAATATTTTGAGAAAATAATTGTGTTAATGGCAGTTTCTATTTTTAATAACTATTTTTGGGTTGGAATTATTCACGAATCGATTGAAATTATTCACGAATCGATTAGAATTATGTTTGTGTTGCATATTGATTTGTTGAGTACAACCTAGCTGTTTTGTCATATAAATAAATAAAATTATTCAGTAATCCTTAATTTGATAACACGATTAATTCAAAGTGACGCAATCACCTTGATATCCAATTGCAAATATAAATTGAATCGAAATGAACACATAAATTCATAAGGCTCGCATATGCATTTCATAACACGATTAACGCATCAATTGAACTAAATTAAACGATACATACAAAGTGACGGCAATCACTTTGATAACATGATTAACACGTTAAATGCGACAATAATTCAAAGTGACGGCAATCACCTTAATATCCAATTGCAAATATATATTGAATCGAAATGAACACATAAATTCATAAGGTTCGCATATGCATTTCATAACACGATTAACGCATCAATTGAACTAAATTAAACGATACATACAAAGTGACGACAATCACTTTGATAACACGATTAACACGTTAAATGCGACAATAATTCAAAGTGACGGCAATCACTTTGATATCCAATTGCAAATATATATTGAATCAAATTAATACGTGACGGGGTTTCGAGCCTTGTACCGTTCTCGGGATTAAAATCGACAAACATAACGAAAGACGAGAGTTGACGGGCTCGGGATTACGTCACAGCGGCGCGGAGGCGAGAGGGCGGCAGTGCGGAGGAAGAGCCGCAGCGGCGCGGAG